AAGATAAAAGTTGATTCTATCAACGCAGTTTATCAGTCACTGATTTTGAGCCTTGAGGCTGAACATCAGTCTTGTAATGGCTGTTATTTGAGCTGATTTTCTTCTGGCCGTTTAACAGCCATTCACTAGACAATGCTGTTTCTTTCTGATCAAAGATCATCATCGATCAACGTCGGAGTGAATGATTATGCCGCCAAACTCTGCAAGTCATGGTGACCCAAGTAAACCTGGCGAACTACTCTCCGTGTTCTAATACTCGGCCTCAAAGAAGACGAGAAAATCTCAATCGCGGAAAACAACATTGTTTTTGTGCATTCGTCGCCGAATTTTCTTGCTTTTAGATATGCTGTAGCACTGACTTTTCGACAACGTCAGACTACCACAGAAACGACCTTCAGGGACATGTTGAGACGGGTAGAATTACGAAGAGCCGTATTAAATATGGATAGACCGAATAACGATAGACCACTGCTTTTGCGTAACCGATCTGCTAAAAATCGAATTACTCTAACGGCTGATTTTATTTCTATTCCGTTCGATCTTTCAATAACAAAGGACATACATCAATGAATGGAACATGACGATATATGAAAACCATATTAAGCAATAAAAGTCAAGCTAGAGTTGACGAAGTTCTTTGAAACAGCGGCTAAACACAGACAAATAAATTCTTTCTTCAGTGACCTCTCTATGAGTTCTGCAAACAGAAATAAAGGAGAATTCCCTGGTGATGCAATGGCGCCGATTTTGTTTTGCATTGGATTAAATCACTTCAATCACTTGTTGTGATTGAAATCAAGAAAAGATAATAGTCAAATGATGACCAATTTCCGACAACCACAATGGCATTGTATGCAGTGTCAGTCAATTAGATGGACAAATTTGTCCAAAGTAGAACTTTTCTACAGATACTGGTAGAGATATTGGTTGGGCAAGAAATCAAGCAGTGCTGAAAAATTCCCAATTTATGACTTAAGAAGCCCTGAAATGGTCATTTGTACAGCTGAGCCGGTGTGTTGGTATGCCCATGACAGTAAGACACTAATGTTCTACGGTCGTAGGTGTGACCGGCGAGAATTTGTTTACCGAATGGCTGCCCTCAGCTTGGACTTTTAGCAACCTCTGGTCAGTCGAATTCTGACCCCCCCCCTCTGAGGTGCAACGGATCGAGAGACGCGCAGAATTCTGAGGCCCATTTACAGGTGTTTTAACAGTGCATGAAGTTTCGCCACCTTCTGGCAAAGCTGAAAGTGGTCTGAGGGATTCGTAAAGACGGGTTAATTGTCTCCAATCTCTTGACAAACCGATTTCTAATCGCGAGGCAAACTTCCAGTCCGTCCTGCCCTAGAATCTTCAAACTTTCGCATATCTAGCATAACAGCGTTCTGAATTTCTTCGCTGCATACGTGAATTATATGTCCTGATCGGCAACCTCAGTAATAAACGCTAATTCCTCCGCAGCTTGACTTGGTTTGTTCCGTAGGTTTTTAAAATGTTGAGACCATCGTTTCCGAATGCTGGCAGGAACCCGCCTTTTTTGTGGTGTGTTCTGCTTGTGACCATTTTCTTTTTTTCACTGTTCCCACTCAGAGTTGATACCTCCAAGCAAGCCGTTCCTAAATCTTCTATGCTTACCCGCTTTTCCAACCTTGTTGCTTCCCCTCCAGCCATCGTTGCCCACCTCGGCGGTTGCCTCCTGTTTTGCTGCATTTCATTCGTCGTGAAGTTTTAGAGTCTCTGGAGAAGCCCACGGCTTCTTGGTCATCTTTGCCAAACTTAAGGTCTTCGCTGATCCTTTGACGTTACTGCTTTTGAGTTGTTCGTAGATCAGCATGGGCGACTATAAATGCTGCTCCCTCGTAGCACTGAATCTGCTGGCGGTTTCCGCCTTGAGCGCCTCATGAGTCTCAGGATTCTCCAGCCTCTTTATGACCAGTTAGTGTAGCTCCTTTGTTTTCGTCGGCCTTCGCCTGTCGTCAGACAGAAACTGAGTTTCGCGGCTACCAGCAAGTGATCATATCTGAAGTCAACACCGCGCCTAGATCGCGTGTCGTGGAGGGCAGAACTTCGCATGGTGTTTTTCTCGACCTGTCTTATGAGATTCCCCCTAGTGCTACCAATATCTGCTGATGACCTTGTGACTAAGAATTAGGTTCCCCCAATGAACATGCCATGCGAGTCGTAAACGTCGCAAACGGCGTCCATTACCCTTCGTTTCCTCATTATGTCCACCCAACACGTACGGTCAGCATGTGCAGCTGACGCCGACTTGGACGTTAAGGTCGCCGATGATAATTCATAATTGGTGATAGTGAAAATATATGTCTATATGGCATAGAGACATTCATTGAACAGATTCTTATTGTAATCATCTGCGACGTTGGTAAGGGCGTGCACAATGGCACGTCGGGTGGCGAATCTACAGACCATCACACAACGGTTCGTGTTCTCTACGGAAACCGGTGTTTTCACTACTTTGAGGGAAAACAATACGATAACCCTTGCTTCCCGGTGGTTGTCCTATCTGTCTGACCAGCTGCTGTCATGGCCTAGCGGTCTGGACTTGCCATGTCTGAGAATGCCAAGCTTGCACCGGTCGGCGGTTCAAGCTGAGGAAGTCCAGTTTCTCACTGACAGCAGCCTCCTCACGATCCAGCAGTCAATGCGAATCTTGCAGTTGAAAATGTCCGTCATCTTCACATAAAAGTTCTTGCTTTCGATCGAAGTGTCAGCAGTTGAATGTAAACCATGGGTCACATCGCAAACAGTTGGACCCCGTGGGTATATCGCAACGAAGACGCAGCCGTACGAGAGATCACACAACGTCTACAGTGATAAATTATGAAAAATACTTGTTATTAAATGTTTATGTGAGGAGTATTTATGTACCTTGCCCACGAACATAGGAGTGCTGTTATTATGAAAGTGAGTAGTCGCGCCGTTCGATCATAGAGTCCTTGCACCGTGTTTCCTCGTAGGTAGGTAGCACTCATCAGCGCTTCGGTTAGTTTATGAGACTCCGCTCTTTAACGACAACACGCTCACTCTAACAGTCAGCCATCATTAATATGGGTAACTGTACTCTACTATTTAAATTAGAATGACAAAGCAACAACAACGGTTATAAAAACGAAAATATGCCGGTTTAAGCTACACTGGGACATTTATAAAAATGCCACTTCGATGACCACCGTTGGGCCTCGTTCAAGTATTACCATGACGTATCAGACAACATTCTTAGTCACTGTTTCATCATTAAGAACACGTCGTCGGTTTTCGTGGGAACAACGATGATACGGACAGTTTTGTCGCTGAAATGAGGTGAGGTCAACGCTAGAAAGCGAAGTGAACTGTCGTCTGCAACTGTGATCGAGCCGATCAGCAAACGGGCGGCGCTATTTCCCTGGTTGTCGATGTCCTCATTTCGGTTCGTCTGTTGTCAGCTGCGAAAAAACGCTGCCTACTGTACAGTATACTTAGAAATAAACAGCGCTCGGGTCCGAGAATGTGCAGAGGCCAGTGTCACTCCATGTCACTCGAGTGACAGTTTGAAATGCTACGGCAATGGTGAAATCCGACGAGCTCCGTGACTCGAAGGTGTCGTTGATTGAGCGACAATAATAGACGAAGCACCGTCAACCGTCCGTTCTCCAACGCTGTGCCCAGACTCCATTTCCTTGTCTTTTGGTAAGATTCATAACTTACACTTCATGTTGCGTTTAATAAGAACCCAATAATCGATGGCGTTTATTAACCGTGAAATGACCTGAAACCCTTTGCTGTGGGTCATCTTCGTTACGGCCGATTTTTGTTAACAGTA